TCCGGGAACTAACGAGCGCGCAGCATCCAGGAACTAACGAGCGCGCGGCATCCAGAAACTAACGAGCGCGCGGCATCTGGGAACTAACGAGCGCGAAGCATCCGGGAACTAACGAGCGCGCGGCATCCAGAAACTAACGAGCGCGCGGCATCTGGGAACTAACGAGCGCGAAGCATCCGGGAACTAACGAGCGCGCGGCATCCAGAAACTAACGAGCGCGCGGCATCTGGGAACTAACGAGCGCGAAGCATCCGGGAACTAACGAGCGCGCGGCATCCAGAAACTAACGAGCGCGCGGCATCTGGGAACTAACGAGCGCGAAGCATCCGGGAACTAACGAGCGCGCGGCATCCAGAAACTAACGAGCGCGCAGCATCCGGGATCTAACGAGCGTACAACATCCGGGAACCAACAGGCGTGCGGCATCTGGGAACTAACGAGCGCGCAGCATCCGGGAACTAACGAGCGCGCGGCATCCGGGAACTAACGGGCGCCCAATACTAATCCCACATGACACGACCCCCGACAACAACAGCATTGACGAAAGTAATGTATGAACCGAGACACTGTGTAATATAATAATACAAATACGATACGATACGACAATTACGACCAAACATGCTCCGGGTATTGCATTCTGCTCGACGCGAATTTCGTCTACAAACGCAGGAAAATAAATCTGTTACGCTTTGTCAACTATGTGCGACTATGTTGTTACGCTACACCCTCCTCCACCGTTTGTCAATACCAACCAATCTGAACTAGCAAGTGTTGATAAATACCTTGTGACGTAGACACAGTGACTACAACTGTATCCGAGTGCGTTAATAAGACCCTGCCTAGGCCTGCCTAGCCGACACAGTGAGTGAAAGGTGTGACTGTGAGACTCCGTTTAGTGTCTGTTAGCGGGAACTTTAACAAGCTCCCAGTTAAAAGCTCTCTCTCTCTCTCGCTCTCCACTCATCAGACAACAGCAACACTAGCCGACCAAGCACCGTCACCATCGTGAGGCATGCACAACACTGAAAAGGGGCTCACCCTTCTTCTTCTTTTTATCTTTTTTATCCTTATCGCTATCCTTGTCTTTCTTGTCCTTTTTGCCCTTCTTAGTTTTGTCACTGTCCTTGTCCTTTTTGTCCTTCTTGTCCTTGTCACCGTCTTTGTCCTTTTTCCCCTTCTTGTCTTTGTCACTTTTGTCCTTCTTATCTTTAACTGCGTGTTTGTCTTTTTTGTCCTTTTTGTCCTTGTCAGCGTCATCGTCACCTTCGTCATCGTGTTTCTTATCCTTCTTACCCAAAGCAAAGAGCTTACCCTTTTTCTCATTCTTGTCCTTCTCTTTGTCAGCGTCCTTGTCCTTTTTGTCCTTTTTGTCCTTGTCATCGTCCTTGTCAGCGTCATCGTCACCTTCGTCATCGTGTTTCTTATCCTTCTTACCCAAAGCAAGGAGCTTGCCCTTTTTCTCATTCTTGTCCTTCTCTTTGTCAGCGTCCTTGTCCTTTTTCCCCTTCTTACCTTTGTCCGCCTGCTTATGTTTTTTGTCCTTGTCTTTGTCAGTCTTCTGTCGGTTCTCTTTGTCATCGTCTTTGTCGTCGCGCGTCGTCGCCACGACGACCACCGCCCCCGTCTCGGTAGGTCTGCCGTTCTCCCGCTCGACGTCATCATCGTCCTCTCCCTCGCCCTCACCCTTCTTCTCCTTCTCCTTCTCCTTCTCCGGAGACTTTTCCTGGTCGGCCTTGACAGCGACGGCGACGGCGATCTTCTTCTCATCCTTCTCCCGCTGCTTGCGCTCCTTCTCCTCCTGCTTCTTCTTCTCCCTCTCCGCCTTCTCCGCTTCCCTCTGCTTCTTCTTCTCCTCCTTCTCCTGCAACGAGAATGCGACGCGCGATGAGGGAAACTCACGCAGGCAAACGAGAGAAGAAACCGGCAACAGATCGTCGAAATTCAACGGGACAGTCGAGATAGCAAGGTTACCTGAGAGAGGAGGGTCGAGAAAGCGCATAAAAAATGGCAGCTACAAAAAATGGCAACCTACTTGTCACTACGAGAGAGGCATGCGAAGAAACATTCAAGAACACTCACCTGCTGTACGCTGCACACAGACACGCAACTACCAACGTCATCACCACGTGGCGAGACCCAACACTGTGCAACATTGTTGCAACAACTTTGAACCATGCCACCAGCCGACATCCATCACCGCCAGCCGACCCCCCCCTCCCCCGATCGCCAGAAACCCGACTTACTCTCTTCTTCCTCTCCTTCTCCACCTCCTTCGCCTTGGCCTTAGCCGCCTTGTCGTCCGGCCCCTTCTTCTTCTTATCCTTCTTCTCCTCGTCGGTCGCGAGCGGGGCGACGGCGGTCGTCACGGCGACGACCGTCTGCACCACCTCCTCCCCGCCGCGCTTCCTCTCCTCCTCCTCTTCCTCCTCCTCGACCTCGTGTCCGGCCCGCTCGGCGGCGACGGCGGCGGCAGCGGCGGCGGCCGCGGCGCGTATCGCTTCGCCCTCGCGCGCGTTCTGTGCCTCGCGCTCGCGATCCCGCTCTCGCTCGCGGCGCTGGCGTTCGAGCTCCCGCTCCCGCGCCTCCGCGTCCGTCTGCGAGAAACGAAATGAGAGTGCCGGCGTGTACTACATGCAACATGCAGAGCGGCAAACGAAGCGCATGCGACGAGACACATGCGGAGAAAGAGTTGGACTGCTGCACCGTGCCACCGACCAACCACAACCTCTGACGGGCGGACCGACTCACAATGTTCGCCGCAGAAAGCACCTTTTTGTGCCGGCGACGAGTTTTTGGGGATCGCGTTGCGGCTTACGCGTGCCGGCAGCGGTTGGGTTTCGTCGGCAGCGAACTTTGCTGCAGTGCGAAAACCAAGAACTGCCGGCACGCGCAAGCGTCACTCGATATACTCAACACGTGAGATGGTTACGCCGAAATAAAACATCCGTCTTCCATAAAACATGACCAGAGCCGCCAGAGAGGTTTGGGCGATTACGCAGTGCACGTCCAAACACTCAGAGATTATACAGAAACTTAAAATGAAAAATTCTCGGAAATACTTCCCTTCGTTACACTCTGTTAGTGCTTATTAAGGCAACATCAATGCAAAACTGATAACTGTTATCTAGCGATTACTTTGAAACACTGAGTACAGCCGAGTGAAAATGTGAATACTGAACGCATGCTGAGCAAAACGAAAGGACCCTTCACTCCTCCTAATATTTCATTCGTTTGTCATTGGTTAAAAAGCAGTAAGTAATTCACACGTGTCGATTAAGAAGACACATGCAAATGTAAAACAACACTGCAAGGGTTATATTTTCTAATCCCAACCATTCCCCCCCGCCACACCACCACACCACACCACCCGACCACCCGACCATCCGTTCCCATACTCAATAATGATCGACTGAAGATGGTCCCCAATGAATACCTAGAACTAAAGAAAAGACCATGTGATTTAACATTCCACCACAACTGCATAACGACTTCTCTAGTCGCCTACCTGCGACTGAAAAATGAAACAGAGATGCAATGAATAAGCATACGTAAACAGTCACCAATAACTCACACGGCTCTTACCTTTGGTTCCCGATCACATAGCAGCCACCATGTGGCCACAGCTGCCACACAGTCACTCACCGTTCACACTAACCTATCCAGCTTATCTACCCTACCTTTCCGCTCACTACTTACCTTACCTTACCTACCTTACCTACCCTAACCCTACCTTTCCGCTCACTCGTGAACACGCAATCGCACAGGGCGCGAATTTTCTCGAGTGAAGTTTCCAGACCGGTGCCTTCGGTGTTTAACCGGAGGGGAGGGGGGAACGCCCCCCCGACGCGTAACCGCGGCGACCTACCCTAGCTTCCTCCTCCATCAGACGCTTCTTGTCGTCGTCGAGGTCGTCTTCGTCGTCCGAGGGTTTCACGTACAGCTTCTTGCTCTCGTCCGGTCTCTCTTCGCGCGAGCGGTCGAACCCGGGCGCTGCCGATGAAAACAATGCGGACGACGTTGATGACGTTGATTAGTCACACCGCCTGCGCCCCGCGCGCCCGCGCGCCTTCCAGGTTTCCCCGTCGTCCGAAACAAGGTCACGCGTCTTGAAACGAGTCGTGACATTAACCCTTTCTCATAGACCGGACCTAGAGATACCGAGCACGAGAAACAACTCGTACTCGTTGAGTAACTTGAATTGGACGAGTAGTTTCACGACGTTTCGGTCAACGGTCTACGAGAAAGATTACGTTAACGTCAAGACTGACGTCGAGACTTCGTTTCTGACGACGGAGCCCCGGAGCGCGTCGCGACATCAGAGACGTGCTATTGTTGCAGGACGGAGTGCAGCACACGTTAGTGAAACTACAATTACACTACGGTGAGATTCTCTGAAGGGGAGTTAGTGCAGTGGTGAGTGCGACTATGCAGGCACGTTACGGTTACCCCGTCACTGTGTGCTCGTACGTACGCATGCAGGCAAACCTACGCTCACTACAGCGTGGGCCTCTAGTGTTAGTGCTCGCCCCACCAATTTTTACATCATTCGTATCGAATTTAAAAACGCGACGGGACGGGAACGGAGTTGAAAATTGAAAGTTAGACGTAGGAGACGCGATAATTACCTATCTCATAGGATGCAGCGGCCCACATGTCTAGAAAGCAAACAGAAACCCGGTGTAAAAACAAAACCAGCCACTCTACGAGAGGGAGAACGCCGCAGGTTAGAGCCGATCAGAGATGCCAACACATATTTGAAGCAATCTGTAGTTTCTGGCCATCAAATTAGTAGTTCGAGGGTCACGAGTCACGTAGTGACCCGAGTTTGCTAGGGGGGTCCGGCATGCCCCCCGGAAAATAGTTTGATTCTGAGATGAAATTTCCTGCATTCTGAGGGACAATAATTAAATTTTTTTTTTTTTCGATCACAGTGAAATTCGTAGTTTGATACAAACGGGTCGTAGTGGTGAAAAAGGAATAGAAATTCGTATAAAATACGGATAAATCGTAGTGGTTGGCATCTCTGAGCCGATGCACCGGGTCGGCCGCCGGCGCGTAGAGAAAGCTCGCATGCTGAGGGTTAGTGATGCACGAGCCGACGCCGCGTGCGTCCCACCGATTAGTCAGGTGCATGCACGCATGTGCGTCTCCACCGTATTAATCCACACGACAATAATATCCAGCACCACCGCTCGTCGTGATCGGCGGCAACATTACACACGTGCAAACGTTATAAAGCACGACACCACTACCACGCGTGCAACCAGACAATTCCCACACGCCGAACACGGTTTCAAAACGGTGATCACTCGAATGAAAATCAACGCGATTTCATCAACTATTCAATTAATAATAAAAACCAAACCAATTTTCAATTTGAAGTCGCATCCGCAAACCTCTTTCTGCCGACACTTCAAATTTAAGTACGATCGAGTTTATTAGAGTCTTTAGATCCTTTTACTTTCGAGTCTTTATACTTTTCGCCGCACAACTTTTCATCGGATTTCGATTCATACAAACGGAGGAAAGCGACCCAGGAACGCGTCACGCTACGACGCACCCTCCCTCCCCCGCCCTCCGGGAGAATCACCGAGCAACCCCCCCGGCGTACCTCCGTCGAGGCTTCGCGAGCCCTTGTAGCGGTTGCTGAGCGTGCGGTTGAAGTTGGGCTGCTGGCGATCGATCATGAGGCTGGCCGAGCGCGCCTGGTACTGCGTGCGGCCCGAGTAGCGGAACTTGGAGCCGAAACGCGGTAACTTGGCCTTCTTCTCAGTCGGCTCAGGGCTCATCAGCCTGTAGGGGGCGCAACATGTAGCTCGTCAGCATGACAACAAGTGACAACGCGCAGGCAATGTCTAACGACGGTGTCCACTGCCATCGCTCGCCAGCCGAATTTATTCTTCTATGCCAACGTTATAGACAACACAGAATGGCCGAACACAGTATTTGAAAGCAATCTGTAGTTTTCTGGCCATCAAAAATTAGTAGTTCGAGAGTCACGTAGTGATCCGAGTTGCTAGGGGGTCCGGCATACGCCCGAAAAATTATTTAGTTCTGAAATGCGCAATTTTCCCTGCATTCTGAGGGTCAAAAATGACAATAAATGCAACAAAAAAGTGACAATGAATTTGAAAAAAAAAATGAATAATTTGCGATCACGAGTGAAATTCGTGAGTTGATACAAACTGGGTCCGTAGTGGTGCAAAAAGGAATAAGAAATTCGTAATAAAATACGGTAAATCGTAGGGTTTGGCATCTCCTGGGCTTGCACCATGGACGGCGTCGTCGAAAACAAAATTAGTCTTTAGGTTAACTTTTGCTTATAGACTGAATCTCTATACGCTCCGCTCGAGAAACTCGTAATTTCACCGCGCTTCTATCAATGGTCAGACAAAATTGGTTTTAACATTAGTCTTAACATTAACTTTTTCTCGTTAGACCGTTGATCAGAAACGCTGCGAAGTTACGAGAATGAAAAATCGTAAGGGCAGATTTCCTCATAACAATACTACGAGGAGAAACAAAGTGATGTCGGACGGTGCTATGGAGAAATTGTTAATTGTTAAAGACTAATGTTTAAGAACTAATTTTATAGTTCTGAACGACTCGCAAAAGTGCGCTTGCTGCTTTTGCAGGCTTCTCGGAGGACCGCGCTCCGCGTGCATCCATCACGCGACAAGCGCAGCAGCGCGTGAGACCCGTCGATCATCATGCGACATCACGACAGACGATGGCAGGACGACGCGAGATGGTCTGGGAACGGAGGACGCTCACCTGAAGAAGGTGTGGTGTTCCACGCAGACCTTCCAGCAGCAACCGGCCTGTTCTTGGCGGCGGCGCGGTGGTTGGCGAGCTTGAAGCCGATGGTGCTCTCAAACTGCTCAAACTATCCAACAACAACAACAACAACAACATAGATCAGTGAGTAATTAGCAATGTAGAATGACACCCTGCTGTACGAAACTGCTCAAACTATCCAACAACAACAACAACAACAACAACAACAACAACAACAACAACAACAACAACAACAACAACAACAACATAAATCAGTGAGTAATTGATGTAATCAAGGTAGAATGATGTAACGTTGAATTATGAGTTCATGTAGAAATGATGAAGTAGAAATCCAAACCAGCTCTCGACCAGCCCATTAAAATTACCTGCAGCCGAGAGAGATGTGCGAGCGTGGAGAAATATTTTACTTTAGACTATATACGGCGTGCAACAAAACGGGGCAAAACATTCACGGACGCCTTCCGGCTTAACCGCAAAAACATTCGACGAGCCAAGAGGGCTGCCACGGACAACGAATCGTGAGCGCCATGCAAACAGAAATTAATCCATTAAAGTTGCACTATGCGCATCCAAACGCTAATTTCTCCAGTACTAGACTAGCAAATACTTCGTGTCATGCATAATCACACTACCTTATGGCAAAATAAACTCTAGTTCTTCCCATTTCACTGCGCGTTTGCTTAAAACCCACAAGAAAGAGGTGCAAAATCTGGTAATCTGACGCCAACGCTTAATTGTTTGCCAAACAATTTAGCCTCGAAGCGGTTAGGTGACGTCACATGTTTTTATCTTTGCTACACCCGTACCGCTGTACCGCAGCACCGCTCCACGGTTGCTTGGCAGAGCAACGCAAAAGTGTCAACAACATCGAAGAATTTGTACAACATTAGAGGTATTTTCAAATGCCTTTTATAAGACAACGCACAGTGAAATGGGAGGAACTAGAGTTTATTTTGTCATAAGGTAGTGTGATTATGCATGACACGAAGTATTTGCTAGTCTAGTACTGGAGAAATTAGCGTTTGAATGCGCATAGCGCGGCTTTAATGGTCGGCGAAGTATTTCTAGACGCGGGACCGCGTGCATCGTCGCCCCCACTCACCTCTCCCGGTCGGATCTTAATGTAGAAGTTGTTTCTCTTGTACGATATCTTGAGGATCTTCGGCCAGGCGAAGCGATTGATGCGCAGTCTGTCCCGGTAAACAAGCAGACCGTTCGCACACACGCCCAGCATGATGTCGACACCCTCAGAGTCCTGCAGCGAGGAGGAACAACGGTGCAGACTATAGTACCATGAGTAGCAACCACACACACACGCCCAGCATAATGTCGACACCCTCAGAGTCCTGCAGCGAGGAGGAACAACGGTGCAGACTATAGTACCATGAGTAGCAACCACACACACACGCCCAGCATGATGTCGACACCCTCAGAGTCCTGCAGCGAGGAGGAACAACGGTGCAGACTATAGTACCATGAGTAGCAACCACACACGCGCCCGCTCACTCCTTCTACCTGTCACCTCCCTCCCCTCTTCCTCTTGCTCTCGCTCCCGCCCCCTATCTTGCTCTCTTGCTCTCTTCTTCCTCCCTGTCTTCTCTCTCCGTACTCTCCTTCTCGCTCTGTCCCTCCATCTTATCTCTCGCCTTCACTGTCGCGTGCTCTCGCTCTCGCTCCCGCTCCCTCTCCCTCTCCCTCCCTCTCTCTCTGTCTCTCATCCTCCTCCTCTTTCTTTCTCTCTCTCTCAAGTGCTTTTACACACAAATCTATCCAACATGCGACGAAATAAAATATTCATACAGCTCCACAGAACGGTCGACTCATCAGCCTCTATAAGGAACATCTTCCCTCGAATGACCCCCACACACAGATTTCACAGTACTGATACTAGCTGTCATTCACGACCCGTGTGTCCGCGGACACCGGCGGCGAGGGCAGAGATGCCAACACATATTTGAAGCAACCTGTAGTTTCTGGCCATCAAATTAGTAGTTCGAGGGTCACGTAGTGACCCGAGTTTGCTAGGGGGGTCCGGCATGCCCCCCAGAAAAATTTTTGATTCTGAGATGCAATTTCCTACATTCTGAGAGTCAAAAATGACAATAAATTGACAAAAAATGACAATAATTGACAACAACAAAATATTTCGATCACAGTGAAATTCGTAGTTTGATACAAACTCGCTGTAGTGGTGCAAAAAGAATAGAAATTCGTATAAAATACGGATAAATCGTAGTGGTGTGCATCTCTGCGAGGGGGACACTCACCTTCACTGGATGCATGTCAACGCCGTACATGGCCAACTTCTTGGCGTTCTCCAGGTAGTGTAGCTCTGCTTCGGCAGGTGTCTGACCCCTGCAACGCACACGCACGTGCGTCAAACGCCGGGAAGCCACGCAAAGCCGCAGATAAACTCTGCCACGGGCTGACAGTTAACGTTAAACTCTGCCACGGGCTGACAGTTAACGTTAAACTCTG